ACACACTTTTATTGTTTAATAATATTCAGCATTTTATTAAACAGCATGCTTTTGAAGAGCTTGATACTTATAGTATACAAAGACTTTTGTAGTACTAGAAAATTGAACTTCAAGATTATGTGTGATATTTAGAAATAAATTATAGTTAAAAATTTCTAAATATACAATCATTATGGGATAGGTTGGTAACAAAAGAAGATATCTATACTATCATTTGTAATATAATGAAAATGTATGCTTATCTTGATGAAGATGAACTAAAATCTTTAATAAAGTGGCAAGAAAAGTTAATTTGTACTGGTGGTTATTGTTTGTTTGAGTATAAAAGTAATAAAAGCCACAGATTTATATTTGCTTTTCAAACAAAAAAACAAATAGAGTTAATAAAATTTGCAAGAATTGTATATCTTGATGATATTTACAAGTTAAATCAGCATAGATATTATCTCTTTATACTTATAATATGGCATCTAATTACAGGAACTGGATATCCAATTGCATTTTTAATAAGTAAGTTTAAAAAATTGATTATTTTGAAATATTGGCTTAATTTTTTGAAAGCCAAGCATAGAGAGTGGAATTCAGATATTTTTATAATTGATGATATAGATGAAGAGATTAAGCCTATTGAGAAATATTTTCTAATAGTACTGTATTATTATACTATTTTTATGTATTGCAATCTTGATATAGAAATTTAAATCCAAATCATGGTACAAATAAAGATCTGTATAAGATAGCTGTTTGGAAAAACCTTTGGCAACTAATAAAAACTAAGGGGTGAGATAATACAGAAGCAGTAAAACAAGTTACAGAGTTAATTAATACATGGCAAAAAATAAATATTGAAGCTATAAATAATTTTGCAAATTATTTTGAAAGATGGTGAAAACCAAAATATAAGGTGGGTATAAGTATTGTGACGCACTACTAATTATGATGCAGTTGCGATATCTCGTGACCCAGTGATCAAAATTCAACGATTTTGGTATCAATCGATCCGTCTTGGTTAGATGAATCGATTGGTACCAAAATCACACAATTCCGATCGCTGAGTCACGAGATATCTCCATTCAAATAATTATTATTCTTTTTATATAGTGTTTCGAAGAGAATCATGTACTATACGTTTATAAAAATTTTTTTTTCGTTAAACAATTATCATACAACGCTTATATTTTTATATATCGGACTAGATCAAATATTATGCATTATAAATATACTGTATTGTTGCGTTTGTTGAGGGAAGCGGAGGAGGAAGCAGAAAGAACTGCTAACGATAAAAGACAAAAAAAAAATGGCTACCCAACGACGGATAGTACAGGAGACCGAGAAGGTGCAGAAGCAGAAAATTCGCAAGCAGAAGAAAGAGGAAAGGGACCGTATGAAGATGGAACAACAACGTATTAGAGAGGCAAAACGAATTGAAAAAAAGAATACAAAAAAAAGTGGTACTACCTGATTACATATAGCTTGCATTATTTTTGGTCGTTACCTCGATGATCTCAATTTTAGAAAGAAATTTTATGCAATTATAGAAAGTTTTTTTTTAATAATAAAAAGAATTTTTTTTTAAAAAAAAAACTTATTTCAAGTTAAAATAAACTTACTTTAATAAG